TCTAGGCGCGCGTTTATCGCCTCAGATCCTTGCAAAGCAAAGTGTTGCACGCCCTCGAGCCAAGCTGGGACATTAGCTTATTTAGCCAGTCCTGCATGCCCTGGCGAGAATAGGTGAATTGCTCCATCCTCACAAAGGGTCAGTTGTAATGACTCAGGAGTAGATTGACAACGAGTACTACCAAATGCAGCGGGGCTGCCGTAGCTCTTTCTCTTAGAGGAAGATTGGTTAAGGTCGGTGATCTTCGTTCTATACTAAGAACCAGTCTGGGTGTAGCGGATCGCGATCACTTATTCCAATCACAGCCTTGGCCAAAGGCTAATTAACTATTCCTTCAAAACGTAAACTGTATTTTTCAGTTTCATTTGCGACAAAGCCATCAATATCGAATTCTATAGTTTTTCTATCTATATAGTAAAACCTAACTCAAAGTTTAACTGCAGACTGTTCCAGCCACGTACTGACTTCTGGTTTCAGCGTAGCCACACCATCTTGTGTAACCAAAACCATTTTGTGTGACATCATCTTGTGGGACCCACGCTCTTCACACTAGGGCACGTGACACCCCGTTACAATTTTAAAGACAAATTAGCATCCCTACTACCCCCTACATTCGATCTTTTGCTCGGAACAGCTATATTGAGCCGCAGATGTAACCTCAGGTCATTCTGTGCATTGGAGTAAATAAGTGAGAGTATTATCGATGTTGTTGAGCATTATCAATATTGTCTGCCTTAGATTGGCCAAAAGCCGAGACTCTTCGAGAAAATTTACGTGTCGCATAAACATGATGGTATCCGCAAGTCGATCGACCTTCGTCGGCACTGCTCTATGAGGTAAAAGTGTCTCAATATCATATGGAATATATAGTGAGTCAGTGGAATTACCAGAAATGCAATCAGTTTTGTTCTCGTATCAGCGAAACGCTCTCCTCAAAACACATGGTCTCATTTCTTCAAGACTGCTCTTGCATCGGAGCCGCATTTAACTTAAAATAGCCTCTGTCTATGTTCATCGGAAGAGTAATCATGATCACACTGAGCAACGCGCTCTCCATTAACAAATGGAGTCTGGCCTTTTTCAAGTTTGATATTTGCTCGATAAATGCTCATAAAGATGTGCAATGCAGCCGACATGAAGAACTTGATGTGGAAAGCATTCGCCTCGACGTCTTCATCGTCCTTCGTACTTTGAAAAGTCAAAGATTTAACAGCGTTTTGCAACCGGGTTGCCGTCTACCTTTACAAAATGAAGTTTGATTTTGTGTTGATAAACGCACATAGAATGAATTCGTGCTTAACCTGGAGTTGAATCAAGAGAAACAAAACTGCTAGAATTTCTTGCTTTTTAATAAGGTCAAAGAATAAGATATTAATTTTATCTGGACTCATATTGAAAGTCTACGGTTAATTATCTCATTAGAAGCTGTTGGTGTATAGTTAACTGTCGACGTGTCCCTCGAACACCATGTTTTCTGAATTATATATTACCGACCTTCAAATGCATATGTACATATGCAACTATACCAAGTGTGACACAAATTTCGGGCAATTATAAGGTATCGTAATGAAAGCAATTATACCCAATGTGCAAGAGTTCATAGCACAAGATAACAATACTTGGCTCGATACACCATCCTTCACAATGGCGTGAGCCTCACCGGGACTCACATTCATTTCGTTTTTATGACATTATGCAAAATGCTCACCCCAGGAGGCTTTTATGCGCATCCCTAGTATCCTCGAAATACGTCACATATACCAAACGTTTGGCGGAAGCTCGTTAATCCTTTTAATTTGATGTACGGAGCAATTTCCTTTTTGCAAGTTGGCACAGAAGAGCATGCACGGTAAAGCACAAAGAGTGAATTTGCACACTGTTTTCCGACGCGAACAGTCTCAATAGCCCTCTGAGATCTGATTGAACTCCTTCGCCCCTATCTGGCGATGCAAGGTAGAGTTTTATGAACTACAGACACAGAATCACTCTGACGCTTGCCCAAACCACGTCGTGTTTACGGTTCTAAATCGTTCAAAGTCTGCTTCGGCAAGCATAGCGCGCAGGCCTTCTGTCAAACTTAGAAAAAAACGGGCGCAATAATGTCGGTCCGCAAACACTTTCTTAGAGTCAGCACTACCGTTTGAGCTTGATGCAGCAGCCGATGATAGAACTCGTACCCGAGCGGCGGATGTACTTTGGGTATTTGAAGTTGATAAATCACCTCTATGTGTACACTTTAGACTTCGGCCTTGTGTGTCGATTCATTATTGCCTTGCGACCTTCAGAGCACGATGTGGACACTGAATTGACTGGCCAGGAGACTTTACCCAACAAGGTTGGTTGCCTTTCACCAGCAAAAATGTGTTTGACCGTCGAACAATCATCTTCTTATTGACTGATGGTGCTCAATATCTTAATCGGTTATTGTACTAGTTCAATCTTACAGAAGTACACTTCTAAACTCACATACTTAAGAGTGAGGAAAACCCATCCACTTCATTAGGAACGGATTACAGCAGTGGTGTACCCGACGGCTCACGAAGCGATTGGTTACTCCTTGCTTATTGAGCAGTGTCGACAGAGGTCGAATCTTCCGCATTTGGCTATCGAAAGTTCTCAATTGTGGCGGCACGGTGGCTCAACTCGAGACTCATAACGTACGTCCAAAGATGAGATAAACCGGATCACGAATCCGCCTCTGAACTTTGTCATCGCACTGATTGGCTTAAGGTCTCCTCTGCAGCGCAAAACCTGTCACAGTTTTGATGCAGAGGAAAGCTCAGCTTTATCGGATGAAAGACGCTTCTGCCTACAAATTATTCCTTTTCGCCTGACTGGTTCATAGTTGTAGGATAGTGTTATGCTTAAGCAAGCATACATGGATCACTGGGTATGTTCGCATTAGCCCAAGGTACTAGAAGTATACCTGTGCACCCGCGAAAGGTCCAATGCAGCGCGACTACAACATGGTCTTATCGATCGTAGACACTGCATGTGTCGGCAAATTAATCCCATTCAATAATATTTATTACCTTCCAACATGTCATACTTGCCTCTGGCATAATCGTGCTGTTTTCATTTGATTTTACTTCAAACCAGAGCGTTGCGCATCCTGCGCAAAACGCTCGATCTCATCGAGATAAATCACTGATTACGCTATCCGGGCTGGAATAAGCAAGTCAATTATGACCAACACCCTCTTCTTCGTCAATAGCAAAATCACTTCGTAGCAGTGTCAAGGGCAACCAGGTGCTCACAAAACCATCCAAGGAAAAAGAAGTGCAGCTTGGAAAGGTAGTATTTATCGCGAATTATTGAGTGAGAGAGATTCCGTGCAAATTTGCGGTCTCGTTACGCAAGTGTTACCCAGGGTACATCTTTCACAATGCGATTGAAGCGATCTCTCTGGCCTTATCATAGCGAACGGTAAGCCATATTGGTTTAACCTTTTCTATGGGGCACTTTGTCTGAATATCCTTCGTTCAAACGTTTGCTGATAGCAGCGAGATAAATCATCCTGCTCAGATGGTCCACAAAGACCACATTGCTGGCGCGTCTTTTGGCAAAATAATTACAAAGTCCACATTGCTGCTGTGAGCACTCTGCCAGATCCTGCAAGGAGGCTAAAGTTTACGCTGCACACACCGAGGGTTTAGCCCGCTAAGATGGCTTACATGTGAGCCCAATATATGCTTACCAACTTATACATCTTGGGTCATCAATAGGTTGCGCTCATTCAGCCAAATGTATATTTTTCGATATGACCACTTAAAGGGGTTTCAAGTGCCTCATGCAGAACTTTGTGCTTGGGTCTTCATCATGAGAAACTGCATCAAGATGACTGTCATATGGGTCAGTGTTGTGGCAAAATTTGTGATAAGGCATAGCCGTAACTGCGTTCAATTTCTCGCTTTGATAAAGCGACATCTATGATCTCAAACTCCGTGCCTCCAAAAGCATTGTGCAATACAACCCATGACGCGTTTGACTTGTTCGCTGTACTTATCGTCTTGTCAATTGACGACTTCACCAATCTGACAAGTGCTATTTTATGGTCGAGCTACAACTATAAATTTGAGAATCGCGCACGCCAGTGCCTTATGCCGAGCCAATATATAACTTACTTCAAAGGTACATTTGGCAAAAATGGATTCCTATGGTGCCATTAGTAAGGAATGCCATGACGCCGTCGCTGTGCGCAACAACGTGTAAACTGTATAAAACCGTAACGTCTTAGAGCCAATCCTTGGTAGTTTAAACATGCATGATGCGGTCCGAACTGCTTGGACACAAGACGACTGTGCGTCGCTGACTGATTAAAAGTTCGGTGCTGCCGGATTAGCCATTCGCAGAGCATAACACATACAACAGTGACAGGGGTACTATTGTCTCAAAGAGCATTCAGAATTTCCATCAAATAGGTCAAGGGTATTGAACAAAGTGTAAAGACCATGCTGTTTTTCAACAGATAGCCAGGCCAAACCTAAATGAGATCGAATCTTAAATCAAAAATCAGGCCCGGAACGAGACAACGTTCCACACTGTCAAAATTCTTTAAATCACCCAGCATTTTAACACAATCTTTGACATGTCTCCATCGCAAAGCGCAAAAGCGTTTCCATATCCGTAATACCCGCGTATTGTCAACTGTTTGTGACGGTCTCGCTCCTTACTTAATTGCACGGTGATAATGAATCAATCAAGATTTTTCATGACTTTACAAAGCCCGGGTGATTGATACTAACAGCCAACAAACCTAGGCTATGAGCCTCACGTATCTTACCCATGAGAGGCTTGATCCAATTGATCACGACCTCCAAGAGATACAACAGAACCAGTTTTTTCTGTAGGCCGCCCTGAACTAGCTGGTTCTTGATGTTACCCCATAAGATGCTCGCTGTTCGATCTTGTCATATGCCTAATCTCTTGAGCCTTTCAACCGAGAGCGAAGGGGGTATACAAGATGCAGATATTTCATCCGCGATAGTATGTGAATACTGGGGAGCTTCTCGGCAGCAGTAAGATATCTCTTCTAATTTCGTATGGCTCGTGCCCATCGCCTCCGGCGCGCCGGGAAGTGAGTATTTCCAGCACACCATCCGGCTCTTGCGGTAAGAAAGCAGTAGTTTGCATTGAATTCGTCGCCGAATGCTTCCTCGAAAAAGAAAGTGTAACGCGGAAGGTTATTTAAATGAGAATGAGCGTCATGCTCAGGGTGCTCGACGTCATGTCTGCGAGCAGCAATCTGTTTGGGGACCCATACAGAAGAAGGTAAGCGCTACAGGGGGACCAGACGTTATTGCGTTTATACGAGTTCGTAGCGTGTGGACATAACCCGCTTACCCTGATGGCTACAGCAGACCCTTGAATGCACTTGTCAGGTGGCCCGAAACCTGCGACATATACCGCTTCAAATCTTTCACACTGAAAGCGCACGTCTGACGAGGTATTGTACGTATGTGTCCGTTCGCCACTCAAACTCCTAGCTTGGAGATCGCAATACGCACTGTGGCTACTTTGGAGCATGGCCGAACTATGGTCTTCTCGATTTCTTTTTTCCCAATGAGATCTTTTTTCAGTCCCTGCTATACGCTCGACATCAGCGATCTAGCGGCGAAAAGTATTTGCACCTATATCGGCGCCGAGGTTTATTTTGTTAAGTACGGTAAACCGCGTCTTTTACTATTTCTCAAGATTATTTCTTATCGGAGCTTATGGATATTCATAATTACCCTAAGTGCAATGTTGAATTCAAACTGGAACTGTACCAAACGCGCAAGGGCTGAGTTTAAAGGGTTACAGAACTTGCCCCGCTGCAGTTGTCTGCTTCAGTAAAGCTGGTCTAAAAAGTGGCTGAGTCAATGTTCCCATTACACCCAGTACACATATTGGGTGCGACACTTGTCGGCATTCCCGTCGGCGTTCAGTCCTCGAGCCATCCTAAGCGTTGGAGAAAAGGTTATCAAGTCAACCTGTGCTGTAAATGCCAACATTACCAGTGTTAGAATAAATTCAGACTGCGTCAATGACAGGGTGTTCTGTGTACAATGCTTTACGAGGTGCGTGTATCAAAAGGACGAGTACCGACAAGAAGTGCAAGGCTTATGGCCGCCAACCACATGTTACTGCACAAAGCAGCATTGCTCGTTATCCCAATCCGGAAGTTCATGGAGAGTCCTCAATTGGGCAATGCGACGATGCGTCGATCGCGATCTGGACAGTTGAGCGCGTAGCCCATACATGAGGGGTTTACCTTTGTATTGACACAAATGATCACTGATCCAGCACCTTCCAGACACATTATTTAAATGAAGCACGTCAATTTGAATTGAATCGTCGCAGCGACATAAATAGCTTAAGTACACCACATGGCAAGGCCAGTACGCATTGCTCATTACGGTCTAAGCCTCATATATTTGGATCGCTCTGACGTCCCAGAGGAAAGATTGTAACGCACGACGTGATCAATATTTCTACCAGTTGACCGATTCAATCGACGGTTTTGGAGCGGCAGTGTTCAAAACGCGAGCAAATTTGCGTAGTATCAGATTTCGAAACTACCACAAAGTATACCTTAACCATAAACCTTAGCTTGATCGATCTGTAAGAGCAACAACTGCATGAGGTGATAATAAAAAGATCAAGCAATGCATCCGATTTAACACGGCGAATACATAATAGATGGAATGAAGCGTGAACTCGGACTGGGAATTGCTCACATATAGACAATATAGCTTGAACGTACAGGAACTATAAGCACGTGTTCGACTTTCAGTCGACATATGGGTCATGTTTGTAGACCTTGTAGCAGAATTGCAACGTAGCGTTAATTTTACTCGAGACAAATTCTCTGCGCGGTGAAAGCTTTAGAATTCGTGCGATGATCTTTGACGTTGGAACTGGTTTCTAATATTGGAGTTGGTTTAAGGCGCCTGAGTAAAATTTTTCGCATCTGCGTGGCGATTTTGATGTCAGGTACAACGTCCGATGCGTGGCTGTGCTACGATATAAATGTAAAGCATCACACTTTTCATTGTTCGCATCAGCTTCCGCCTCTAATCGCGCTCGTGGGGTTTGCCACCATACAGTGATCAACTTTTTGTGCTTCGAGAGACAATCGTTTTGTTCCGGCGAAGCTGGAGCAGCGTTAGTGTCTGCTGGACCCTATGATTTAACGCAGCTACAGGCAAGGCTACGATCTGAGAATCTCGTTTTCGCTGCCACCCCGTCTGTCGCATGCTAATCACATTCACCACCATACAGTCTTAAAGGCCTCACGTCCATGCACGTTTCTTAGTAAGTAAGTTGCAGGTGTAATGACGTGTGTTGCAATGTTTATAACTTTTTTTACTTCTCGCATTTGAGTAAATAGAATTGAATCAACGTTTTTTCATAAAAGTCTTTCCCTTGTAATACTCGATACCCTCAGGATGAAATTCAGCGGCTTGACTCTTCCGGATCTTGTCTTTACAAACATTATCAATTCGTAAACGATTGCTGTCCTTTCTTATTCGCTTGCTAAAGTCTCAGTGACGTCGATACTTGCTTGGGAAAAGCATTGATACATTTTGTTTACGTAACAGCCTGATAGGTTTGGTGCGGAAGGCTTTATTAAAGTTCAGAATATGGACAGAATTGACAAAGATACAAATATAAAGCTTTTAACTGCCTATGTAACACCACCCAACAAGGTACTATATGGTTACCATGTTGCTGTCGTAGCAGTCACTAACATCTTGCTCCACTTTACTGATTGAAACTTCTTTTCTAACGGCTTCAATAGTGTGCCGGCATTTGCGCCGTCAGATATGCAACTATCATTCATAATAAAGAATTAATTAGATTGTAATGCTGCAAATAATCCTTAACTTCATGTGTGTCTGCATCTTTTGCAAAGGCCAGACAATCTGATATGAGCAGCGCCGAGCACTTTTCATTTAATCATTCCCTTCTCTCACCACATGAAACTTGAAATTTGTATCGGTGTCGTCCTCAGTCGATAATAACTGACGTGAGCTTTCCTCCGTACGTTCGCCTCATTCCATATTCGCGGCCCAACTGGACTAACGGCTCAAATATTCATCTCCATGCTCGAGCTGTTGCGACCGCTGGTGTCGCTGATACTATTACTCAATGCTGTGTTCTTAGGCATAGCTGCTGCACTCGACGGTGACGACTCGACAGTTGTGGACGCTCCACTATACGACTGTTCGGGCCCGTCCAGCACAAGCGACAGCTTCATTGACTATGATCATATGGTGCACTGTACACCGATGCTTCAAAGCTCGCCCGTGCTGGCCAAGGCCACACTTGTACTGTGTTTAATACTGCTCTTGTACCTGCTGAGCTCTACGGCCGACGAATTTTTCTGTCCAGTACTGCAAGCAATTGTCGAGAAGTACCGTATTCCACCGCATGTGGCGGGCGTGACTTTCCTGAGCTTCGGAAATGGGTCACCCGATGTCTTCTCCAACATTGCGGCATTCGCGACAGCAACGCCTTCAATTGGTGTAACGGCTATCCTTGGAGGTGGACTGCTTGTGACGACAGTTATCACAGCATGTGTTGGACTAGTGTCGGATGGCCAGGAACAGTTGATACCGCGCACGTACCTGCGAGACGTTATATTCTACTTCATTGCTGTGTTTTATTTTGGACTGGTATTCTTTGATGGCCAAGTGGGACTGTTTGAGGCATTAGGCTTTCTTTGTATCTACTTAGTATACGTGCTGGTGGTGTTCTTAGACCGGTATTTGGCCGTCGGATGCTCTCCGTCAAGAGTGCATGCGGATTCCATCTACACTGTGCTGGATGACGAAGATGATTCGCACTATTTAGTACCATCTCCCGCTAGTGGAGCACCCTTGATGGGCAGCCCGAGAATGATTCAGGTTCGAGTGGAGCAACAGACTCGCCGGCCGTACTTGAAAAGCCAGACAATCCCAGTGTATGATACATTTCATCGTTTCCATATTTTTTCAGACTCGGAGCAATCGGAACCGTCTCCGCGCTTTCTGGATCGAATACTTTATCGTAAAAGCTCTGTGCCGACGCCAAGATCAAAACCTCATATCAGTGATGTGCTTGAAAGGCTTGGTCGAGATGAAAGTCTTTCTTTGTTGGAAGTCACTGATGTTCATCTTAAACGGCCATCGTCAATGTGCGTTGGATCGATGCAAGAGTCACTGCAACGAATTAGGCGACAGAGACGACGTCGTAATTCAACGTGGAAGTCGTTGGAACTTAGTGCGCAATATGGTGCATCAGCAAAACGCTGGACTCGTGGGTATCACGCCCTGAGCGACATCGTCGAGTCTATTCCTTCTGTTGAGTTAGGAGAAGCTGACGCAAGTTTGGAAAATGCTTCAGATTCATCAAACGAGGAGGCTTTTGACAAAAAAGCTGAAGAGATCGTACAAACAGCAGACAATAAGCAAGATAGCTTTGGTGCTTTAAGCCGTGTGAAGGAATTTTCAATGTGGGGGATACGACATATCGTTGAAGCAGGACAATGTCTTTGTTGGGCCTTTACACAATTTATTTGGAGCCCATTCGAAGTCTTCACTGTATTCGTGCGACGACTTACAATTCCTCTTGTGGATGAAGACACTTGGGATAAAAACCTTGTGGTCGTGTGCCCACCTTTTGCCATGCTCCTGTTTGGCGTGTCGGTATTTTCTTTCAGCATTGAAGACCCTAATTTCCTTATGACAATCGTCGTGGTAGGTGGTACCGTCAGTGCTTTCATCGAGTACTCAACTTCATCACTCACCCCACCAGAAGGCTGGCAATTGGCACTTTTAATTTGCATGGCGTTCGGCATGTCTGTCATTTGGATCATGAACATTGCAAATGAAGTGCTTGCCGTGTTAGAGACTTTGGGTACATTGTTTGGAATCTCGAGCTCTGTATTAGGAGTTTCGGTAAGTCTTCAAACTTACGAAGTAATAATAAATCTAATTGTGAATTGAGTGGCAGGTTTTAGCGTGGGGCAATTCCATCGGGGATCTTGTCTCAAATATGGCAATCGCGCGCGATGGCTTTCCTACGATGGCATTTGCAGGCTGCTTTGCCGGACCAATGTTTAATTTGCTCGTTGGCATTGGATTATCGCTGACAATCGCCATTACTTCGCGCGGTCCTCTTTCAATGAACAAGCCTTCACCTTTGGTATACTTGGGCTTCGGGTACCTATTATTGAGTTTATTGCTAAATATTGGAATCGTATCCTGGGACGGATTTCGATATCGTCCACGGCTGTGCTACACCTTGCTGGCATTTTATGCATCTTTTGCAGTCTTCTCCATACTAGTTGTGATGAATTATCCAGAGAAATACCTCAGCAAGTAATTTGCAATGTGAAAACTTGTGCAACTTAATCCAAGATCGTACCATTGAATAAATTTATAAGCATCACTTTTCCTTTCAAAGTAGGTAAGAACAGCTATACTGAACACTCCAATCATTGTGTTGTTATCAATCATCATTCGTGTTGGTCTCATTGCGAAACGTTGAAAGTAATGTTTGAACTTTTTCAGTAGGTAGGCTGCGAGCATTAAGAGGCAAAGAGCCACGATGATTTGTTAAAATCCTATATTTTTTTTATGTCCCAACATTAATGAACTTTTGCTGTAAGATTCCATGGTTTAACTCGACCTCAATGATAATTTACTAATGGATTCACTCATGGTATCTAGGAGGAGTTCTTGAGCTCACTTTAGCTTCGGCTCATTCAAGTTTGACCAACATTACGTTTCCGAAAGTGCCTACCTGAGAAGTGCAGAGAATCGATTGGAATCTGCCGCGGCTGTGAGATAGCTATCTATCTCTGCCAAATCCACCTTCTCAGATGTCTGGTTAAGATATGATATCAGATTCATCGTGTATTATTGGATTTGCTCAGCCTATCGCGTAGCAAGCAGGGATCATTGTACCTCTCTCAGATCCCTTGACAATACCTTCTCGTCAATACAATGTTCGTTCTTTCATCCATCAGCCGTGACAAGTGCAAATGATGTCCATCAAGCAGCACGTGCATCAAGCTCGAATTCTCTGGAGGACAGCTCTTCGCCGAACTGATGAGTTTTCAATTCTGTCGAGATATGCACCAAGACGGGCAGCTGGAAGACTTGCTCAATCCGTATTCGAATTTTTGTAGCACATTACCAAACCTGTCTAACTTCATTGAAGCTAACCTGGAAAATTAGGTATCGCGATAAAATTTACTGCTGCGTGACCTGATGTGATTCTCTGTACATGAAAAGTAAAGTGGCATGTCATCAGAGTCTCTGCTAAGTGCGATTATATATCGGATAGATATTGAAGGCGCTCTTTATCATTTAGGTTAAGCCCGGAAATTTGGAAGGGTTATTAAAGCTAAGTTGGAAGGCTGAGATATTTGCATAGCATTCATGTCATCGCTAATACTATTGATTGAGGCAATCCGACTTTGATGAGCTTTTAAAATCGAGGCCAGCTTGCTGAGATTCGCTATCAATGTTGAGAAAAGTATTTTAAGGTAAGGTTAAAGTTAATGCATTACTTATCAGAACGGCTTGAGATGTGTAACAATTTGACATACTCTGATCATACTTGTTCGAGAGCTTTCTGGGTTCCAACTCATAGATACACACGTCCGGATAGACTTTGATTGAGTTTAGTAAAAAAGCTTGACGTTGCTCGAGCTAGTCAAATCCATATTTGCATTATAATAATTCGACATGAAAATGACCTGAGCGAACTCGTCTATCTGCACGTTTGCGAGCCTAATTCTGGCTAATCTTACAACCGGCTTTTGCAGAGACGAAAATTTTTTGAAAATTTTTCACAATTGATCGAATTCTGGACACGGCGACAAAGACCACCGCACCCATGTTGCCCGCCAAGTCCATTGAAAGGCCAAACACAAAGTCCATACTTGACCTGGCTTATAATAAACACAAGGTCTTGATCGACGCTAAAGAGCTACTTGCAAGCAATCATAGTCACTGTGTTTAGACTGTTGACTGCAAGCAGATCGTTATTGTTCCAATGCGATGATACACCTGATTCTTCTTTTGTATTTGATAAAGCACCAAGACTGACCGTTACTTCAAGTATCAGGGACCGAGAGTAGGACTAACATCAACGCTTGCTTAAATGACTGGCTTTCTCCCAGTAGTAGGGACTACAAAATACAAAGTTTAACACGTGTCAAGGGTTATGTAGAATCTTATCGAATATAGTACAGGTACTCGCTTAATCCCGATTCCTGGCGTCTCGTTGCTCGTTGTTTTAAACATGAAAATGAACTATGGGGACTACATCATTGTGAGCCACGCCGCAAATGTTAAAGCTGATAAGTACAACTCGGAAGAATTATCATACATGGTTTCGACTTCATTCCAAAGCAACCATTATTAAAGAAGGTGTGTCCAGATATGTGGCCGCAAATATGTTCTTTGACGTCGTCGATGAAGAGGACAAATTACATGGCATGGGCAAAAGTTCACGGTCTTTGAGATATGAAATATGGTTGATATGCCAAAGTTCGTTTGTACTAACAGCCGACGGAACTCGTCCTCGCATGGTAGTGGCTTCTTCTGACGTTGATGACCGAGGCGCTCTCGGCAGATTAATGAAGCTTGGGCAGAGATAGATTGTATTGATGATCTCGATTATGATCGTAGAACCTGCAATAAGTGCGTCTTAAGGAGCCTAACAGTAAGACCAACCATCCCGAGGACAAAATATGCGCTTTATCAGAGACAGTGTAAAAAATAGACTTAGTAATGGCAAGGGCATAAATATGGAGTCTGGTATATCTAATAATTCTCTCACATCGTTCGTGATAAGCAACACGATATGAATGCCACGCTGAAAGGAGTGGGTGTGAAAAGATATAGGCTTACAAGGTCTGAATTAAGAGTAAGGAGGCTGAATGTATCGGCGTTAATTAACGGGCTCGTCAACTCTGTCTATACGTTAGTAATAACGGGGATCGTGGAATCGACTATACACGTTCGAAATGTCGTCACACCATTAACTGCGATAGTCAGGAATGAAACATATCAATGAAAGTGGCCGTCAGAAATTGCATTGGGAAGGTTGATTATGAGAACTGCTTTTTCCGTCAAAAGAGTCCGAGGAATAGATGAGACCGACGAAGCCGCCATCGGGAAATGCTCGTCCTTCCGCTCTACGAATTCATTTTTCTATGCTGCATGAGTTTCATAAAGAAGTTTTCTCCACCAGTGGGGTGGTTTGGAGGATTTTCTTGGTCCTCTGGGAGCTTCCTAGGGCAAATCACGTGCAACCTCATGTGGTCTTCTAGCATAGAACTCTAGTACTCTCCGCCCGCATATCTAAAGCTCTACGACGCGCCCCCGTCTCTCCATTTTCATCAAGACTATTTCATACTCGTTGAAATGATCGTTGAAGCTCTGACCGTACTCAAATTGACGTTTACCATGAAGACAGCCTGCAGCTGTAACACTATCCTTAAAGTAAGCACATTATTTGCGCAAAAGCCTCTTTTTTCCCGTATAAGGAGCAGAAGTATCAAGATGACCTGTACATGATACATTTCCACTCACATAACGATAGGCTCAATCTTGCCTGAAGTTAGTTCGGAGATTTTAGTAATTAGAAGATGAATGACGACTGCAATCTATGAGGCTATCTGAGGCCGATATCAAAGGTGTTTGTTGGACGGCTGACGAGCTAATCCAGTTAAAATGCCCTGATGATCACATAATCGACGATTGTGTGATCATCATGTTTTACTCAGAATTAATAGAGGATACTGAAGTTCGAATTTCAAATAGGCTTATAGATGACTATCCTCTTAAAGACGAAGCAGAATCCTCATAGGCTATCTCGAAAATGCTATGATGTCGTCGATATAAGGAAGGATGATTCTTAGTGGTTATCGAGCTAGTCCATGTCATCTAGAAGTCGTCATTATGAGTGCATGTTCGAGTGCACTTCTAAGCTGGCGATAAACTCTTGTGATCCGTTTCCGGATTAAAATATAGCTTGACATTTTGCAGCTGATAACTTACTTGTTGGTTCCGAGTGAGGACTTAATGACTAGAGCTACCTAGGTAGAGTGACGAAGTAGACGCTACTGAGCAAAAAGTATGTTTTGCAAACTCGATCAGAATAAAAAAGATTTGCTCTCATTCAACTTCGATCTTTGCATTACTCAGAGAAGGACGGCAGAAAGTCGAGAAGAAAAGCAGCAATCCAAGATTTAGAACCCTCGATATCTTCGATCAAATCCGTAGATTCTTCCAATAGAGCTTCCTCAATTCAGAGTCAAGAGAAGGGTGCCTTGCGAGAAGTCATCACCACCATCAACGTCTCCAGTTTAAAGCGATATTCCTGCGGTGGTCCGTTGCCGGTGTTAGCGATAAAAGCTATCAAAAAATCCATACAATAATCCCTGACGCAATCGATCTTGCATTGGCACTCACTTCATAGTCTTCCGTGATTATGTTTACGACAAACTGGGCGTCAAATTCTTTAAAATCTGTTGATCTGACAATCGATTCCTATAGCTGACTTTAAATCCGTATTTTGCTGTGGGACAAAGAGTGACAGTCTGGCTATGGTGAAAATAAATTCATTTTTGGATTCAAATTTCAAGACATTTTCAACGAAAGCATCTTGCGTTAATGAAGAAAGTAACCTAGCAGAATCATCAAACTTTAGGCAATTAATTTGTATCCTACTTCATCTGACATTGACACTCGACAGCTAGATCAAAGCGCAATTGAGTATCAGCGACGGAGCTTTGAGGCAAATATGGCGATGCATACTATTAAACCTTTTCACAATCGCTATCATAAACGAAAAAAAGCATTCGGGTACATCGTCTTCGTGGTGAATGCTGAGCAAATACTCATGTCAGCGCGAGCCCAAGCTTTGCTTTGCAATGCTTGTTTGTTTATAAGCTTGGGATTCTATAGGAGCTTTCCAATTACTGACTGACAACCCATCTGTACCACGTACATTCCAATGTCGTGTTGTCTTTCATTGTGACTATCCTTAAAAAGACTTTCAGCTTTGTAAACGACGCTCTAGTAAAAAACACATAATTTTCAAAATTGGATTTTTATCAAGAGAGAATAAAAAAAATGCCCCAGCTTTTGCCATATATAAAAAGAATATCCCAGCTTTTCAAAAAATAAAAAAATACCTCAGCACGTAAATTATCACCGGGGAGCCGTAATGTTACACAACAGAAGATGTATTGTATTAGGAATGAATTAACATAATTTAACAAAATACCCCACAATAACAAAGTATACATTG